ATTCAGTAACAGCAAGAGAGGTCTGCAAGTTGAAACACGTTTCCCTTTTTTCCGCATTTGTTGCATCAATTTCGATCGGTAGAGAATTTCCGTACTGTTTATTGTATCGCGATTAGTCCACAGCAAAGGAAGGGCATCCTTCTTGACCGCGTTAGCACCCTCAGAGCACATACTATACCGCACTGAACGCGTTCGAGACATTGAGATGAAGCAACCACATTGGTCAATTGTGGATCACTCAGCTGTAGCACCCTTTCCGTGTCTAACTGTCATGCCACTCGAAGGCTGTACGAGGGCCGGAATACTGCCTGGTTTCCCATACCTAGACAGGGGAAGTCGAGAGACAGAGGTCGGGTTCGAACCATGGACGTTCCAGTCAGTAAATTCGAGCTCTTACCACTTGGGACATCTCGCCCAGATGTGTCCAATGTGTGCCGGATAGGTATACCAAATAACCGAAGTCCACCCCCTCCCCTGAGTCCACTGTAGACGAAGCTCTAGTCTGGCGTGGACCAATCAGAAAACGGTTCCCGCTGAAGAAAATTATTTGTTCAAACGACAGGTCTCTGAATCCGGGGTTTACCCTCCAATGTATCAGCCTGTGACTGTGCGACCAGCCAGAATTTATCGCTTCTGCAAGCAGTTTCGCGCTGAAATCTTCGGAGTTTCTACCCAATTTTGGGGGGATGCCAGTTTACTGATTCTGAATGCATCAACCTGATGAGTTCCACACAGGTTGAAATGCGTAGTGGGTTGTTTTTCCGAGACTGAACACGTCTGCCCTCCGATCAACCATCTGATAGTGATGGTGTGACATGGGGTTACATAGAATCGCGCTTTGTATCCGATTACTTTGGGCTGTTGTGAAGACTGAATCTTAGGTGATTAGCTACGAACAAGTCGTATTTTTTTAAATAGCGGTGTGATGGTGGAATTTCAAACACTATGACCATTGTTTGCGTCTCACACAGCGAACAAATGAGCGGGTGTTCGAATCCTTGTCGAAACTGGGTCACGTGAACTAGGACACGCGAAAAGTTACTCTCAGTTCATTTAGGACGCAAAAACGCGGTCTGCGGCGCTTGGCAATTAAAGCCGCTTGGTGTACTTTATATCAGACGAGCAGCTATAGACAGCCAGTGATGGTCTCAGCAGGACGAATCAGGTACCCTCCCCAAGAAGAAACAAGCGTACTATCTTCTCAAGCCCTCGTCTTGTCTTCTGGACTCTGACTGACTGCATCGTTTTGGGCTAATGACTTTAGCTGAGAACCCTAGTCGTCCTCCTCTTTAGGCCTTGCAGTATCTCAGCTCATGTACAACCATGAATTGCACGTTTACAAATGATCTCATGCCACATCGGCCGTCGCGCACTGCCGTCAGCCGGGACACCATACTTGCTGCGTACCATGGGGCGTGTAGGCTAAAACAGGCTACTGCTGACACCTCTCTTCTTTCTCTTTCACATATTCGTTCTTCTCTCCCTCCGTGCTCCTTTGCTAGTAACATGTTCGTAGGTTCATTCTTGGGGACTGATTGGCCCGTTCGCCGCTCGTTACTGTTAACTGCTTGACTCGACCGCCACGGCAGCTGACTCCTCAAAATCATTCTTCAAACTCGGATGCTTAGTTCGTTTAACATCCTTGAACGCTCGCACTTTGGAACAAGTACACGTTGGACTCGTTCTTTGTTGATGATGCCTATTCACAAAGTGAATCGGGTAGTTCTTCATCATCATCATCGTTAGCTGCAATAACCACGTACTTGTCGTACAGTGGTTGCGGCTGACACAGTTTCGTTCACGGATTATTCGGGGAGGTGAAGTTGGTAGCTGCGCTACAAGCTGCGACTACAAGAATGTTGTGATGGACAGCTGCTAACATTGTTCCTCCGTGGTGTTAACGAGATTCTTGAGTTGTCACACCACTCTTCATATGCGACGCACTTTTTTCGCAACGTTCCAATTCATCCTATTGGCGCTCATAGTCTGTGGAAAAAAATCAGAAAAATCACCAGCAAATATCTTCATGCCAGCACTCATTTCTTGCCGCCGGCGTAGCTGATGCGCTGACGGCTTTGTCCTATCAATCCCCGAGTGACCATGTTAAATGGTGGTCAGAATAGTGCGTCGTGAACTTTTTGTTTCGGCACTGGGGAGGGATTACTAAGTTACCGTGGGCGGCTTTTTTTCAACCGCAGCAAAGCAACTCTTCAAGTGCCTAACCTCTTCCACCTTATGCGGACTCATCCCGGAATCCAGGTGTACTTTGTACGTAGTAAATTTTCAACGGTAACTGTGCGACCAGCCAGAATTTATCGCTTCTGCAAGCAGTTTCGCGCTGAAATCTTCGGAGTTTCTACCCAATTTTGGGGGGATGCCAGTTTACTGATTCTGAATGCATCAACCTGATGAGTTCCACACAGGTTGAAATGCGTAGTGGGTTGTTTTTCCGAGACTGAACACGTCTGCCCTCCGATCAACCATCTGATAGTGATGGTGTGACATGGGGTTACATAGAATCGCGCTTTGTATCCGATTACTTTGGGCTGTTGTGAAGACTGAATCTTAGGTGATTAGCTACGAACAAGTCGTATTTTTTTAAATAGCGGTGTGATGGTGGAATTTCAAACACTATGACCATTGTTTGCGTCTCACACAGCGAACAAATGAGCGGGTGTTCGAATCCTTGTCGAAACTGGGTCACGTGAACTAGGACACGCGAAAAGTTACTCTCAGTTCATTTAGGACGCAAAAACGCGGTCTGCGGCGCTTGGCAATTAAAGCCGCTTGGTGTACTTTATATCAGACGAGCAGCTATAGACAGCCAGTGATGGTCTCAGCAGGACGAATCAGGTACCCTCCCCAAGAAGAAACAAGCGTACTATCTTCTCAAGCCCTCGTCTTGTCTTCTGGACTCTGACTGACTGCATCGTTGATCCGCGGTGAGAAGCACCCAGCTTGACTGCGCTTAGGACACCGTCTGCTTATCTGACTTTAGGAGTCACATTTTCCTTGCTTCGGGCGCAATTAAGCCAGTTAAAATCACAGCCTTTCTTGTGTATAACTGCTCGAGGAAATATCGTTCAGCTGTAGCACCCTTTCGGCGCCTAGCTGCCATGCCACCCGAAGTTTGCACGAGGACTGGGATACTGCCAGGCTACCCAAGCCTAGACAGGGGAAGTCGAGAGGCAGAGGTCAGGTTCGAACCAAGGACCACCTTCTGGTCGGTAGATTCGTGCTCTAACCACTTGGACCGTCTCGATCGATGGAAACTAACCGGGTATACAGCTTAGGTGGGTTCGTGTCCCACGGTGTTTCTTGCGGACCAGTCTTAAACAAAACTGTGATGAGCAGAATGTTTGTGTGGAGGGAAGCTCTTCTAGACTGTTCTCCAATCTACCTATCGCTGACTAGACATACTGACGATGAACAGGCAGTTAGTTGAATAAAATCTTCAATAGAGACTTCATCCTTTCAGTGAAGACACTGTACTGAAAAGCCAGAAAGCATCTCACAACTGAGTCATCCTTCTTCGGATTCCTCAACAGTGTGTGCCTCACAAAACTCCGAAGAGTTTCGAACCCGCGAGCTTCCGACCAGTGGTTGAACACTTGAGCGGCTGAACAGCAGTGTGATTAGCTCTCGTTCAGACAGGACATGACGCCGCTCATCCATCAATCACGGGAACCACATCACGTGATCATGTATTGACTGTTTCATCGAGTGACGACCTTTCAGAAGGAAGTTTCACTATGTAGTGGAATGATCCTTCTTTTGAGCTGCGTACTTAAATGTCTGAGTATGCCCAATCAAATGGAAACCCCAAGGTATTCTGGCCTCGTATGATAGCCCGTCCATACGGGACAATAGTTATGATGTCTTGATGATACGTGGACAACAGAGAAACGTGTTATGGTGTCTTTCACATTCATTAACTCCACTAGAATACGACACTGCTCCTCGTATCTATCGTTTTTCGCTGCAACTCCACGGTAGCCTACTCGGGGCGTTTCTCGTAGCCACATTGTGAGATTTTTTGCTTGCTACACACATTGTCCCCGTCAAATATTTTATTTACATTTTGATTACGTGCGGGGAATCAATCAGTAAGTTCGTAATCACTCGACTTTGAGGAGTACGTCATCACTTATCGCATGGCTGCACGTTTGACGAACCGTTTGGATTCCACTTGGAAGGTCACACCAAAACTCAATCATATCGCCTGGAGCGTCATCCATTTTCTCGGTCGTTCCGTTCATCTGGGGAATCAGGGTTGATGCCTTGAAAGTGCGATTGGTTGCAATGGAGACATCTATTTTAGACTTTGAACTTAAACTCGTGTTGATTCGGTGAGTTTAACTCCAATATTCAGACTACCCGCTAAACATCGGCTTCGTGTACACAGCTGATTTATCATCCAGGACTGATATCTGCCCGACAAATGGAACAGCATAGCACCTGATTGGATCCCAGTTTGCACACACTGTTGTTAGGACTGACCCGGTTGTACAAGTCCAACTTCTGAGGTGGAATACGCCCTGCAAGTCAATCCCAGTTTGCACACACTGTTGTTAGGACTGTCCCGGTTCTACAGGTCCAACTTCTGACATGGAATGCCCTCTGGAAGTCAACTTATTTGATACACTATCTATTTCATCAGTAACCAGCACAGTGCGCAATGAAAAAAAATGTTGGAACAAAACAGCCGGCCTCCATGGTTTAGATCACGTGATACTACGATATTCCACCTATGCCTCTGTCCGTTCCACTTCACTGCGAGCACATTCTCCAACGGTGTTTGCGATTTCCAAGTCCCGTAGTTGAGGGAAGTAAATCGATAACTTTCGTTTGGTTGTATGCTGTTTGGGATTCTCCAAACCAAGTGTGCTCACTAGTTTTACGCCGTTGAGAGTTGCTAAGGCCCTTGCTTGGCTTTTACCCCCCTTAAATTAAGAAGCCGACTAATCTGTTGACGGTTTCGCTCCGTTCCACTCCCTCAGCTACCCGAGCTGGATGCATTCGCCGTACTGGTGCAATTAATGAACGAATATCGGCTCCGAGAAATATATAAACCAGCCATGGTCGAACTGGGCGTGTGCATGTATCAACTGGAACAGCTACTGGCCGAGCACCTACCCGAGATCTATACTCATTTCGTATCGCACTCCTTCGCTCCGAGTCTTTATGCGTCCGCCTGGTTCCTTACCCTATTCTCTACCGTCCTCCCGATCACCATGGCAACCCGAGTGATGGACTTTTTCATTATCGAGGTGAGTTTTTTATGCGCCGTCATCCTGTTCCACGTATCTAGTCTTTTCTTGATGGAGGTGTTCAAAACCGTTTCGGTTCACAATCACAACGGATAGCCCATTATTGCCAAATAAGGTAGGACCATGTACGGAGGCCAGCCGTCCCTAATAACCGAACATCACATCATTTGGACGGATGTGTCACGTGCAGGACACGGACCAAACGAAGGCATGCTCTGATTGGTCAGAATGCCAGCCAATCCGGATGGAGCATCTTTGACTCGACGCTTCTCGCCCCGTCATGGTGATTCTAGAACGACCTTGCGGAACACTCTGTGATTAATACTAATCTTCCTTTGTCTCCATAAAGGGCTGTGTAGAGCAACCGTGCCTTTTGATATCCCATAGTGAGCGGAACATGAAGCCAAGGGACCGATACAGAGTTGCACTACCGTCCACCAGACTAGCCAACCAATTAGAGTCCAAAGTTTATACAAAAGCCCGGCTGGTTGCCCACAATGTGCACTACTGTCGGATACCCGAAGAGCATTGACGTAACAGCTCATCTTAGTGTCGTTCGCGTCGGTTGACCGATACTCTGCACTACTAGCAAGCCAAGCGCACATAATCAGTCATTTAATCTACGGATATAAGCCTCTTTGTCGCCCATACAGTAACACGACTGAATCCATCTATCGCTTGATTGAAAAGAATGTTGTCGACCAAGGTACATTGTTCCAGGTCCCTTGTATTCATGTCACTACGAGGAGATTTGATAGAGATTTCATCATGTCATGTATGCTGAAAAGCCGAGGGGCACCGTACAACTGTTGCGTTCTTATTGGAAATCATCTCACGAAACTCAGAGACTTTCAGGTCGAAACCTCCAGGCCACTTAACCATTTTCCGCGATTCGCTCATCAGTAACGGGAAACCATATCACGTGATCACCTACTGACTCGTTCTTCGAATAACGACTTCTCAGAAGTAGTGTTCACACATCCAGTGAAATCATCCTTTTTCCAAGCTGCTTGCTGGTTCATGGTATTCCTTTTTTGGAGACAAGGTGTGTTCACCGAGGGGACGGTACCCTTTTAACTCTTAACAGTTTACCACAGTATTCATTGGTATCAGTTAGGTCTGAGACCAGCGTCTATTGAAGGAGCCAGTCGTGAGTCGAGTCATTCAGTTCAACTCCAAATTGGACGACTCATAGCGTAGCGAGCACGGCTTTATGAATCAACGATCCGGACTATAACCTCCAACTGCGTTGCCATGGGATGCATAGTTCTAATTCTCCGTACATACGAAACCAGGTTGCCGGATTTGACGGTACCCCGGGATGCAAATTTACCAGAATATCGCCCGATATTCAGCGATGAACTTTGTTCGAATAAACATAACTTGGCAGAATTGAAGGCATTAGAAGAAAGACGACTTCGGGACATTCGAAAACAATGTCTTTTCGAAAAATTTTATTTGAAAATTCCAATGAATTCAGCCGTGACCAAATTTTTCAGCGCAACCGAGAGACAGGAAACCTTCGCCTCCCTGTATCAAGGACATCTCGGCATGACTGCATGAACGTGAAGTAACAGTTGTCTTCAAACCCGCAAACATGTGGAAGAAAACCTTCTCAAAAGCAAAGGGTAGATTGGATGTCATGCAGGTTTTACCAATAAACCGTGTTGTCCGCTTGGTGTAAGCCTTAAATGGCAAGCACTGTCAACGGTCTGACTATTGATTTTACCAGTTCCTTCAGTCCCCACTTAAACTCTAGCCAACTTCGTTGTAGCCCATCGTTCAGCTGTAGCACCCTTAAGGTGCCTAGATGCCATACCACCCGAAGGAAGCACGAGGGCTCTCATACTGCCAGGTTGCCCAAGCCTAGACAGGGGAGGTCGAGAGGCATACGTCAATCCTGTTCCAAGAATATTACTCTCTGCTCATCTGTATTCCACTGTGATGCAAGTCAACATATGTAGGTGGTGGTGTCCGAGCTCATTCAGAAAAAAATGCTTCGGTTCAATCTTTTTGAAAATCACTAGGTGTTTAGTAGTATGTGAACACTCTTGTTGGCCGTCATTCCAAACCCCATTGATTTTATGAATGTACTTGGTTGTTCCAGCTCTCGATGGTCACTGCAGTAGATCGTTTTTCTCAAATGCTTCGACTTTTCTACCCAACCCGACCTTTGCCTCTCGATTTCCCTTGGCTAGGCATTGGTTATCGGGTCACTAGAATTTATACCGCTTGGTGCAGTCTTCAATGAAGCTAAGCTTAAGCCTAAATTCCTTTCGAACCCGTGCAGACTAACCAAGTCTGGCTACAAGGTTGACCATGGGCGGTAAAACACACTGTTCAGATCAGCTCTCCTTAAAATTCAACGTTTTGATCACCACCGGTGACCTTCGTTAAGGAACACATAAATCGGAATCACAAAAGACAGGAGAAACAATGTTTGACTGGTGCTTACCAGTCAATATTTAAGTGACTATCTGATTGGTTAAGGCATGACGGTTGCATTTGTGTGGATGGAAGCTGGGGCCAGCCAGTCAAGTTTTCAAGTATCAGTGGTCAAAGAAACTGAAGACATTTCAAGTCCATTGTTCACGTAAGCCAAGCATTGCGGGCGAGGTGGCTCAGTGGATAGAGCGCAAATTTACTGACCGGAAGGTCCATGGTTCGAACCCGACCTTTGCCTCTCGATTTCCCTTGTCTAGACAGGGTAACCTACCGACTGATTTGTCCTTTGGACAGGTTTCCATAAAACCTACCGACTGATTTGTCCTTTGGACAGGTTTCCATTTGGCTGTGCTCTACCCTAGCAAGAATGAGCGCTTTTCAGTCAATAAACTTGAATTAGAAGCCACACCAGTTTTCTGTCCCTTCAGTCTCATCTGTCAGCATTGCTGACTTGATTTACCATTTCAAATGTTTCTTTCATTCAAAAATAAAATTAGCTTACCATCATCCGATTGGATCGAATTGCTGTACGACAGCGTGCGATCTTATGACTATTTCGCTCGCTGTACTAACCGTACACCGCGTTAACGAACACTTGTGGAAGCTTGTAGACCGTAGCTGCGTTCTTGCTCCACTCCTCGTGTCTGTTTTTGTTCGCCCGCTTGCATAACAAAACCATCTGGCCGACCAACTACTATCACGTAGGCAGCTGCGCAGGAACTACGTGATTAACATGTCTGCAATCTTGTGCACACAGCTGTTTTTCCACTCCCATCTTTTTCTTTCGAACGTCTTTTTTCCTTCACATTGGGTTAGGTGGACACGAAAAATGTTATATCTCTTCAAAGCTGCCTGTCTGTTACCGAAGGCAGCTTGTAAACCAGATGCCGCTTGTTCATTCATCCACACCGCTGTTGCCCTGCGTCTTACGAATTAATCTGTCAACTCGGGCATCCTAATTGACAGCAATCTCACAATAACAAAAGGCGATTCACATAACTGAAACGAACTGGTCTGATGAGTCACAAGCGCGTGATTGCGGAAAGCTGAGTAGTATAGATTTTTCAGTAACACAGTATCCCTAAAATTTATCGTGTAGCAGTTCTCCTGAACAAAGACAGTTAACCTGGATCGGTCCAACTGACCCTATCTGGGAATGATCCCTGTTTGGGCGCCTACATTCCGTAGGATGTACGAGCAACTGGTAATATGTCCACCCCAACTTTGAAAGATACACGACTCGGTTCAATAATAATGACCATCCGTGAAGATGGTCACTAGATGGGAACACGGGTATGTCCCCAAAAGAACATCGGTCTCAAACAATGGTTACATGAACTTATCTCTTCGCGGCCTTCTTGGTTCACCTTTCCTCGTTTGCTGCAATGTATAACATTGAATTTTTTTTCCAAGACATACAGTAACGTGACTAGCACTATCCATACCATGTGCGTGAAGAAATCCTCCCTGTTCGGCTTCAATTGGCAACAGAGCCATCGCACTGCAACACCGGTTTCAGCAGTGATGCCCAACTGGTATACATCCACAACGTTTCATTTCTCTGCTTTTCAAGCGTTAATGTGGAAACGAATGGGCGAACGGCGAGTGCTAGTCCATCTCAGTCATTCTATCGTACGAATGCCTCTAAATGCACAGTCAGTTGATAGGGACAGAAGCAGACACCACTGACATCGGCTGGTCGCCGTGTCTTTCAACGTCCCCACGAGTCAAACGAAGTTGGGCTTACGGACACCCAATCCTGGAAGACGCCCTGCCCCTCGACAACATTCAAACTGTTAGTGATCTCTTTCATATCCTTCTGCCGAGTAAAGCCCTGTCGACCCCGCAGTTTGCGCCATTCCGAAGGAGGCCCAGATAACTGACGAAACTATCAATCACTGGTGTCGTTACTAATTTGGGTAGACACAGCTGTTACACCGTACATTTGAAGGTGCTTTTGCCCGATTTCCGGAAGGAGGTGTTCGGATGGAGAGTTCATATGGCCGGATTGTGGAGTACTGCTTTGTGGAAGGGATGCTCGGACGTCAACAGAGCATACTTTACCCCTGATTGAACGCGGGGATCGAACGATTAATTAGCATGTGGCAAAAGGAGTTGAGTGGGAAAACTGTCGCTGTTATTGGGAAGTGATCCGTTTTTTCAAACACCGCATCTTAAATCTGGCTCAAGTAGGATAATGGGGATAACTGCTCGCCTCCCTATATTCAACAGTCTTACCCACAGGGCAACGGATTGTAGGGTTTTCGGGGAGAGGACGCCTAAAGCCAGTGATGTGGAAGTTTGATCCACGTAGTAGCAGTGAACACACCTACCTGGAGAACATTGGGAGCCTGCTGCGTGCAGCACATCTGTTTGGATCCACATTGAGAGCTCTGGTCTTCTGTTATTTACACATCAAGTTGCGTCGTTCGTCTACGTGCTACTGAAAAAAAGTCAAAATCGTTCAGCTGTAACACCCTTTCGGTGCCTAGCTGCCATGCCACCACATGGAAGCACGAGGGCTGGGATACTGTCAGGTTTCCTAAGCCCAGACG